GGGACTGATTTGGATGGTCCGTCCCCGCCACTGAATGGATCCAAATGGTTTCCAGAGGTAGGGGATGTTTTATCCCATGTTGATGGCCTTTCAGCTGATTTCCTGGTAGCCCGCTGGAATGCGGGGTTAACCAGGGCTATTGACTGTTTGGCTCCGAAGCGCCCTCTCTGATTGCATGAGGCCCAGACAGCCCCATGGTTTTCACCAAAGCTGAGGGCAATGAAACAAGTCGTTGAGACGGCTAGAGAACCAGTGGCAGAAAACTCATTCTGAATCGGACCGGACATGGGTTAGAGCTCAACGTCGAGCCTACCAAGTGGCGATAGTGACGGTGAAGAGGACCTTCTTCACCGCCTCTATTGCATCTGCAGAAAACAGCAGCAGGAGACTCTTTCAGGTGGTTCGCAATCTCAAAGCCACCTTCGCCATTGGAGCCTGGTAAGGACCCAAGATTCCGTCTAGTCAAGTTGCATGGGATCAATTCCAATCTGTTACCTCCCAGGATGTGGACAGGCTCTTGAACAACTGAAATCGACCACCTGCCTCTTTGATTCTTGCCCATCTGGGCTCATAAAAATGAGCCGGCAAGGGCTGGGTGATGGGCTCTGTGGGGTGGTGAATGCTTCCCTCTGTGAGCAAGCCTTCCCAGACCCACTGAAAGAGGCGGTTATTAAACAGCTTCTTAAAAAACCATCTTTTGATTCAGCTAATATGGCCAACTATCACCCAGTTTAAAATCTTCCATTCTTGGGCAGGGTGATTGAGTGGGTGGCTGCTGAGCAACTCCAGGCATGCCCCCATCGTTTAGCCCAGACACTGAGGTCCACTGAGGGTCTTCTGGCGGCTCCCTCTGCAGGGTAGGGCTCGAACCCATGGCTTCAAGTTACAAGACAGGAGATTACAACTCAACACCAGGAAGAACTTTCTGACAGTAAGAGCTGTTTGACAGTGAAATGGATTCCTTCAGAAGGTGGAGGACGCTCCTTCCTTGGAGGCTTTTAAGCAGAGGTTAGTTGAGTTTCCTGCATTGCAGGGGGCTGAACTAGATGACCCTTGGGGTCCCTTCCAACTCTTATGATTCCACGGTGCTTCTCACTTGCCTTTTTTCTATACCGGTAAGTTCCAAACGCTGCAGCCTTTGTTCATAGGGGTGTCACGCTATTCCCCCCACTTAATCATTTGGGTTACCCTTTCTGAACCTTTTCCAGCCCAACAATATCCTTTTACGTGCTCACTTTGGCAGCACGTATACTAAAATTGGAACGATACAGAGAAGATTAGCAGGGCCCCTGCGCAAGGATGACACGCAAATTTGTGAAGCGTTCCTTTTTTAAAAAAAAATCCTTTTATGAGGCGAGGGGAGAGGCTGGGGAAACCCAGCAAGATGGGCAAGGTATAAATAATAAAATTATCACTATTATTATTATTATTACTACTATTGGAGGTTATGATCAGATGGGCCAGAGATATAGGTCATACAATCCAGTTGGAACAATGGGAGAATTTATGGAGACACAACATTAAATTTACAGCATGCTCCATAATTAGAGAAAACTTAATGAAAATGAAATACCAATGGTATTTAACCCCAGTTAAACTGGCTAGAATATATAAATCAAAAACCAGTGTGTGTTGGAGATGCAAAAAAGACATCGGAACAATGTATCATATGTGGTAGGAATGTGTACATATTTTAAAAATTTGGACCACCATACAAGAGGAACTTTAAAAATGCTTAAAGTACCGTGCAATAACTGTAAAAACCTGTAGCGTTCCTCTTGGGAATAACAACAAATGACATTCCTGCAACCAATAGAAAAGTATTCTTATACGCAACAGCTGCTGCCATAAGACTTATAGCAAAAAATTGGAAGGGGGAAAAATCCCATCTGTTTGAGAGTGGCAAGTCAAATTTTGTGAATATATAGTTTCGGCTAGCCTTACGGCAGCAATAAGAGGACAAACAGATCAAAAATTAATTGAAGAATGGGATTGTGCAAAGGAGTATATGAAAAAACATTGTTCTGGGACAAATATATCAATATGCAATGAATAAAGTTTACAGGGTAGAAATATTGAGGAAATGGATGGAAGTGGAATAAAAACAATGTAATATTAATAACACAGTGAATAAAAGAAGTCAAACATGGGTGGAGGGAAGTCTATGTTTTTATGCATTTTTTGGTGTGTTCTTTTTATTTTATTTTATCTTTTGTGTAATGTGTTATTTTTCCTTTTTTGCTTGTGATGTTGTTTGGTTTTTGTTACTGCAATTCAATAAAATTATGATTAAAACTGAAAACAGTATTTTAAGTGTGGTCATTCTATAGATTTCTATTTTATAAATAAAACCCACGTATTCCTTACAGTTTATCAGCATCTGAGATCAGTTTTCCTCACAAAACTGTATGACTTAATTGGGCCAGCAATTTCTTACCTGCATACATTTGAAAATGGGGTACTTGTTGTAGTTTGGTTTGCATGTTGAAAGCACACTTTTAAAGGGATATGCCACCCCATTGCTGCTCTTGGTATCATGGTGAATTTAATAGCTGTTCACTATGATAAAGAAAATAAAAACTGTTGGTTCCATTTAATTATTTGACAAATGTAGATACTGCTTTATCAAGAACAAAATTGGGAAGCAGTGTATATAAAATATTCATTAAAAATAATAAAATCAAAAGATAAAATATAAATCAACCTAAAATTTATCAAAATACAAATAAAACCCATTTTGAAACAAACATCTGTAACACAATCACATGCAGTGGTACCTTGGGTTACAGGCGTGAAATATACTCAGAGTCGCAAAGTGATTTCATGCTCTTTATTCAGCTCATAGTGGTGAGGAGGAATGAATGAATGTCCCCTCAAGGTATCTGCTTTATATACATTATTTACACAATGGGCTGCACATGATTGGTTAATTCTGGAATTCTACTGTAAGCCAATCAGGTTGTGGATTCACTTATATCTGGAGCATGATTGGGTGGTTCCTGCCAACCAATCATACTGCTGCATTGTTCTTGGACCACTCAGACTGCTGCATTCTGAATCCTATTGTTCTAGGACCAATCAGACTGCTGCAATTTGGATCCTATTGTTCTAGGACTGCTGCAGTTTGGATCCTATTCAACTCAGTACATAACAAGGCGCTTCAGGTTACAGACTCTGCTAACCCAGAAATAGTACCTCGGGTTAAGAACTTTGCTTCAGGATGAGAAAAGAAATCGTGCTCTGGCGGCACGGCAGCAGCGGGAGGCCCCATTAGCTAAAGTGATGCTTCAGGTTAGGAACAGCTTCAGGTTAAGAACGGGCCTTTGGAATGAATTAAGTACTTAACCCAAGGTACCACTGTATTAGCATCTGGGAAAAGCAGTACAGCAAAGGTGCTTGCATAATGGCAACGACCAGGGTGTTTAAAAGACGGTTTAGGAGGCAGAGGCCAAACTGCAGGGAGGGCAGTTGCCTTTGTGTGCTCCCTGGGGGCACCTGGTTGGCCCCTCCTGGTTGCTGGCCCTGGACAGAAGGCGCTTTGGCCTCTGATTCAGGAGAGCTGGGCTTAGAACATGGTCAGCAAGAGGCTTCACAACACACTCCAGGGTGAAATGAGGCTGTGGCTGTCTCTCAATTCCTTGAAGATGTCATAAAAGCACCTGCTGGGTAACTGGCATTAGTGCTACAAGACGAAAACAGCAGGACGGTTTCGCTGGCAAAGCACCAGAAACAGTCACCAATCCCTAATACTAGAACACCAGTGGCTAAGTGTGCACCATCACCCCAGAAATCACAATGGACTGGCATTTGCATGAAGGAGGTGCAGGAAACTAAGACGAGCAGGAGGAATTGTGAGGTTCTCCAGAAAGGCAGAGCCAGCGCTGAACTGAGGGGAAACAGGAGTTTTCTGGGTTCTCTTGGAGATGCCTGAAGCAGAGCTTCTAGGTTGAACAACAATGTGAGACAGGACCAGGACCAGGAGAGACACACGGGATTAAGTGTAGAGAGGCAGTATATTAAAAGCTCCAAAAGAGATTCTTACGCTAATTCTGTTTAGTTTCGGAGCTTAAAAAAGGAATCTGGAAGAAAATACAAATCTATCAGGAAAATGAAGGCAAAGTAACAGGAAATTGGCAGGTGTACTTCTGTCTACTCCTTGCTCCAGTCTGTGCATGTTTTTGTGTAACACGATCATGTCTGCCTTATTTTTTCTTCTTCCACAAACTCCTGAGCCTCCAAGGTTGCAGCCCATTTTCCTCCCAGGGGACTCACTCCATCCCCTTCATGCTTTTGCTGGCCCTTCCCTGAAACTCCCCGGCTCTCTCCTTTTTGAGGTGGGGCGACCAGGACAGGACAGGCTTCCAAGCGGGTAAAGCTGCCTTGACAAGAGTCAAGTGGACCTCGGGGTTTGGCGGAAGCGCCCACCGAGCAAGTCAGCCATGCAGTGGAGCTGCTGGCCAAGCGGACGCGGGGTTTTGTTGCCTGGCCCCAAGGATCGCGTCCTCTGGATGGAGAGCAGCTGTGGGAGGGACTTGGATCCCCTTCAGGGGTGGAAGCCTGCAGACAAGGTGGCGAAGGGCTGAGGAGGGCCGGCCGAAGGGGCCGAGGGCCAAGCTGGCCAGCAGACGAAGCTCTGTGGGCCTCCTCGAGAGCAGGCCTTTCCGGGGACGGAGGGGGGACGGAGACACTGCTGGGCTCTAGCGCTTTGCCAGCCGGAGGTCCCGCCAGAGAGAGAATGATTTCACTATTAATATACTTCCACGTCATTGTATTTCAGTTCAACAATTACTTTGATAAAATGCATATTTTGTTATGTGCAAATGAGGTCCATAAATGACCACCTGGCATATATTCAACACAAAACACAGCAACCATTTGTTGGGGATGTTACGGTAAAATCTGGGTGCGGGGTTACTCTGCCACCCAGCTCGTCGGACTAAGTCCGCGGGTCCCTGCGGAAGAAGATGAGCTCAGCCGGAGACAGGAGCAAGTTGCAGGAGATCCGAGTTTATTGCGCAACAGGTTCAAGGCGAGATTGAACAGCGAGAAAGGGGTGACATGAACTTTTGAAATTTCCCTCCATGTCCCAGAATGCAGTGCAAAATACATCCCAGTTACATCATGAATACATTAAGAAGAGGTTGGGTTACACAGATTACATCACGAATACATTAGGAAGAGGTTGGGTTACACCGGCTTAACATATGGAGGAGGGAGGGGGGAATATGCAGAGCTGGAGATATGCGCAGATAAGCACATCCCGAGAAGACAATGGTCCATGTATGCATAGTCTGCCACCTGGCATCGCCCGCAGGAAGGGCTTGGCAGAGCGATTTGACAGGATTAGGGTCTTGACACCTTGCTCGAGGGATTCTGGAGGACAGGGGAGGTGTCATGGAGTCCTAGAGAAACGGAGCAAATTGGCACGTTGGTTTTCTAGGAATGTGCTAGATTTGAGTCCCTTTTGACATTGGCAATTGGAAATCAATGGCTATATTGTAGTGAAGAAGAAGGTGAAGAAGACATGCCCCCCCCCCCCGTATCAGGGACAAGGGCCAGCTGGCCATAGCAAGGGCCCCCTTCCTTCCTTCCCTCCAGGAACCTCCCTCCGCGTCCCCGTTCCCCGGGCGGGCGGCCAAGCGGAGGCGCCTCCCTCCCTCCCTCCCTCCCTCCCTCCGCCCCCGGCGGGGCCGCGAGCCAGGGGCGCCCCCTGGGGGCCGCCCGGAGAGCGGCGCCTGCGCAGTGCCGCGTGGAGCCGCGTGTCGGGCAGGCAGGCAGGCGAGCGGGGCGGGGCCGAGGCGGGTTTCCCGCGCAGCGGCGCGGAGGGAGCCCGGAGCAGGAGGAGGCCGCCGCCGCCTCGGTCCCGCCATGGCTTCTCCGGCCAGGGCCCTCCGGCCGCGCCGCTCGGCCCCCGCGCCGTGAGTCCCCGAGGGCCGGGCGGGCGGGCGAGGGCGGGCGGGGGGCGGGCGGGCGGCGTGGGGCCGGGCCGGGCCGGGCTGAGCTCCCTCTTGGTCCGCAGGGCGACGGGCAGCGACGCCTCGGAGGACTCCGGCGACAGCGCCTTCCAGGAAAGGCCTGGCGGCCAGGCGCAGGTAGGGAGGGCCGGAGGGAGGCCCCGGCTGGGTGGGGCGCCGCCAGGCCGGGCTGGGGCTCCCGGCTTCCTCGCCCTCTCTCTCCGTCCCCTCAGGCCCCCAAGGACCCTCTGCCGGCCCGCGCCGAGCCCAGCGGCGGCGGCCTCTTCCCGGCGGTGAAGGCGGGCGGGAGCGCCGCGCAGGTGAGGGGCAGCCGAGGGAGCCGCGCGGAGAAGGCCCTGCTCGGGGCTGCAGTCGGGGCAGAGAGCGGGGAGGGAGGGAGGGCCCAGCACGGAGAAGGCGCCCCCTCCGGCTCAACCCGAAGCTGCTGCTTGAGCTCCCTGGGATGCGCCAGCAGCCGTCCCCAGGGAGCTTTGGAAGGAGAGGGAAAGATGTGCCTCCCCCCCTGTCCTATGTGCTGGAGTGGGATAGCTGGCTTGGTGGGCTGCAGTGGAGCAAGGGGTGGGTTTTGGAAAGGAGACTTGGGGCAGGTGAGAGTGGCAGGGTTGGCTGGAGAAAGATAAGGAGCAGGGAGATGCGGGGGGAGGCAGAGGAATGTGTCTTAGGGGAAACGCAAATCCTCTAGTATGCTTGTGCTCTTGTGGGTCTCGCATCTCTCTCTTGTTTCTATGTGCGTGTCCTTGCCCTGCTCCCTTTGCCTACTGCCATCCTCTGTCAACTGCCACAGTCTATAGTTGATGACTGGCTTGAGAGTTACAGGAAAGACAGGGAATCTGGGTTTCTGGAGCTGTTCAACTTCATTGTCCACTCCTGTGGTTGCAAAGGTGAGTTTAGAGTGGAGTGTTGTGCTTCTGCGTACTCTTGCAAAAGCTCTCCTGTGCTCCGTCCTCCTTCCAGTTGCATGCTTGCTCTGCAGTGATGTGAGGCTGGACTGGCGCTCTCTCCCTTCTCTTTCCCCTCCACGGCCCTGCAGGTGTAGTGACCCTGGAGATGCTGAGAGGCCTTCAGAACTCGGAGATCATCCAGCAGCTGACAGAATCATTTGATGAGGTGAGAACTAAGGAAGGGGATGTTTCTGGGGAGGTTAAATCCAAACAGTCGCCTTGGAGGGAGGGTGGCAGAGACAAATGGTGGACTCAGACAAATCTTTTCCTAGGGCTCAGCAGAGTACCCACTGTTGCTGAACACCCCAGTCTGGCGGCGGTTTCGGCAGGGGTTCTGTGAGCTGTTGGGAGTTCTTGTGCACCGAACACAACATGCTGTTCTCTATGATGAGTATTTGATGGGTAGCCTTGTCGCCCTGCTTACTGGCATGTCTGACTCCCAGGTGCGTGCTTTCCGCCACACAAGCACCTTGGCAGGTAGGAGAGTAGTCTGGGTTTGGGTGGGCAGATGCATCCCTTTCTGAGAGGAGCTGAGAAATGCCATGCTATGCTTCATCTTTCCCTGTAGCCATGAAACTAATGACAGGTTTGGTGGCGTGTAGCTCTGAGTGTCTAACTCACTGAGATAGGGCCAGAGCTTGCTCACTATCAGCTCAGGCCATGTGCTTAGAGCTATTTCACTATATTTTGTCACCCAAGATTTCTGCTGCATCTCCCACAGGGCATGTTTTCAGAAAGACTGGTCCAGCGCACCACTAGTGAAATGCTCTGTTTATCTAACATTCAACCACAAAGGGGTTCCAGCCTAAACACCCTTTCCACATTTGCAGTCCTGTCCCATCTCCTGTCTTCGTTGTACTCCTATGAAATACAACTTGGACTCAGAAACCCCTCCAGGAGAAAGCGGAATGAGGAATAACCTCTGCTTTCTGGCCTCACCAGGCATCTTGGAAACCAGGGAGCCAGAGAGCAAGAAAATAAACTGGAAGGGGAGCATGATGCTCAAACCACATTTGGGGCGCCTGCAAATTACAGGGACAGGCAGGTGTTTTGCCTTAGGCAACCTCGGTCTTGCACAGATCAATTCCATTAATGATGGTAATTTGCAGCATAAGTAGTTTATGTATGAACCAGAACCACAACAAGGAGCATTGAGAAACTCTCATGCCAAGGGTTATCCCCCTGCAGCTTTTGTTTTCAGGGTTCTGTTCATAGAATCATAGAATCATAGAGTTGGAAGAGACCACAAGGGCCATCGAGTCCAACCCCTGACAAGCAGGAACACCATCAGAGCACTCCTGTCATATGGTTGTCAAGCCTCTGCTTAAAGACCTCCAAAGAAGGAGACTCCACTACACTCCTTGGCAGCAAATTCCACTGTCGAACAGCTCTTACTGTCAGGAAGTACTTCCTAATGTTTAGGTGGAATCTTCTTTCTTGTAGTTTGGATCCATTGCTCCGTGTCCGCTTCTCTGGAGCAGCAGAAAACCACCTTTCTCCCTCCTCTATGTGACATCCTTTTATATATTTGAACATGGCTATCATATCACCCCTTAACCTCCTCTTCTCCAGGCTAAACATGCCCAGCTCCCTTAGCCGTTCCTCATAAGGCATCGTTTCCAGGCCTTTGACCATTTTGGTTGCCCTCCTCTGGACACGTTCCGGTTTGTCAGTGTCCTTCTTGAACTGTGGTGCCCAGAACTGGACACAGTACTCCAGGTGAGGTCTGACCAGAGCAGAATACAGTGGCACTATTACTTCCCTTGATCTAGATGCTATACTCCTATTGATGCAGCCCAGAATTGCATTGGCTTTTTTAGTTGCCGCGTCACACTGTTGGCTCATGTCAAGTTTGTGGTCAACCAAGACTCCTAGATCCTTTTCACATGTACTGCTCTCAAGCCAGGTGTCCCCCATCTTGTATTTGTGCCTCTCATTTTTTTGCCCAAGTGCAATACTTTACATTTCTCCCTGTTAAAATTCATCTTGTTTGTTTTGGCCCAGTTCTCTAATCTGTCAAGGTCGTTTTGAAGTGTGATCCTGTCCTCTGGGGTGTTAGCCACCCCTCCCAATTTGGTGTCATCTGCAAATTTGATCAGGATGCCCTTGAGTCCATCATCCAAGTCGTTGATAAAGATGTTGAATAAGACCGGGCCCAAGACAGAACCCTGTGGCACCCCACTAGTCCCTCTTCTCCAGGATGAAGAGGAACCATTGATGAGCACCCTTTGGGTTCGGTCAGTCAGCCAGTTACAAATCCACTGAGTGGTAGCATAGTCAAGACCACATTTTACCAGCTTCTTTACAAGAATATCATGAGGCACCTTGTCAAATGCCTTGCTGAAATCAAGGTAGGCTACATCCACTGCGTTCCCTTCATCTACCAGGCTTGTAATTCTGTCAAAAAACGAGATCAGGTTAGTCTGACATGACTTATTTTTCAGAAATCCATGCTGACTATTGGTGATCACAGCATTCCTTTCTAGGTGCTCACAGACTGTTTGCTTAATGATCTGCTCCAGAATCTTCCCTGGTATTGATGTCAGACTGACTGGGCGGTAATTATTTGGGTCCTCTCTTTTCCCCCTTTTGAAAATAGGGACAACATTTGCCCTCCTCCAGTCTGCCGGGACTTTGCCTGTTCTCCAGGAATTCTCAAAGATGACTGCCAGTGGTTCTGAGATCACATCTGCCAGTTCTTTTAATACTCTTGGATGCAGTTCATCTGGCCCTGGAGACTTGAATACATCTAAACTAGCCAAGTATTCTTGTACTATCTCCTTAGTTATTCTGGGCTGTGTTTCCTTTGCTGAATCATTTGCTCCAAATTCTTCAGGTCGGGCATTGTTTTCCTTATCGGAGAAGACTGAGGCAAAGAAGGCATTGAGGAGTTCAGCTCTTTCTGTGTCCCCTGTTTGCATTTCACCATCTTCTCCTCTGAGTGACCCCACTGTTTCTTTGTTCTTCCTTTTGCTACGGACATACCCATAAAAGCCTTTTTTGTTGCTTTTAACCTCTCTAGCAAGCCTGAGTTCATTCTGTGCTTTAGCTTTTCTGACTTTGTGTCTACACGTCTTGGCTATTTTTCTGGGGAAACTTAACTTTACTGCCAGCTTCCCAAAGGGAGAAGTTTTGTCTTTTTTCTGCTTTTGGTCCTACTTTGGTGTTACCCTCTGGACTGCCAATCGCAGCGTCATAACTGCAGGTGAGGGGGAGGCAGCTGCCCCAGTGAGGATTTTTCTTTTGAACATCACAAGAGCTGGAAGGCAAATCCTCAGAGATGCCCTTCCCCCAAAGCCATTGGGCCTCATTGAGAGGAAGGGGGAGAGGAGCTAACAAGGATTAGTCTTGGACGTCTTCCTTCTTGCACAGTCCCTGGGTTGGGGCTCGCCTCAGTGGGCTTGGGGCATTTCACCCCTGGCTTTTCTTCCTCTGCAGACAAAGGCAGAGGTGAGAGTCTTGGACTGGGGCAGTGGGACACAGATCCATTGGGGCTCAGAGTGCCACGGAGGGGGTGGGGATGAGCCACCACGCATCTTTCCTTGGGGAGCTGCTCTGCCAGAGCTGCCCTGATGGAGGCCAGCACAGCCAAGGGGATCCAGTGGCGCTTCCCTGGCTGGGCCACCCACAGAGCAAATCTCCTTGCCACACCTGCCCAAGGCGGCTCATTGGGAAACTGCTGAACATGCAGGGGGCCAGCAGGACGCCTGAGCAGCCTGAGCAAGAAAGAGAACCCCACTGCAGCCTGCCTGGCCCAGCTGCGGATGGGGAACAGAACAGGGTGTGCTGGGGCACAGGTCTGCTTGCCTCAGCTGAAAAAGTGTGGGCCATTAGCAGCCAAACAAAACAAAAGCCTATTCTTGCTAGTTAGCATGAGAAGGGGCTAAGATTACAGCTGACTGCTAAGGACCAAGACCATCAAAATGCAATTGGTAGAGAGGACTCTGTGTGATGTCATTTCCCCTCCTCTCCTGGGGGCCTCCTGGTACTTCCTGCTCCTCTCTCTCCCTTTGGCCAGCCAAGAGGGCAGACGTTCCCTTTGCCTGCTCCACTGCAGGCAGATGCCAGAAACTGGTTATACAGCCAAGCTCGGCTCCCAAACGCCTCCGTTTTGGAACATTTTGGCTCCCGAACACCAAAAACCCAGAAATAACTGCTCCGGTATTTGAACAATTTTCAGAAGCCGAACAGCTTCTGTGGAGTTTTTTTCTTTTATCTCCATTGACTTTGCTGGCCACCCTTTGATCCTTGGTTGTTGAACGTTTCGGAAGTCAAACTGTCTTCCGGAATGGATTACGTTCGACAACCGAGGTTTGACTGTACTGTAAAGGTAAATATTGTTGGGGGATTGATCATTTGTTTTACAGACAACTGAGTGAGTTTCTGTTCTGTATGTGATGCAACTTTCAGATGCTGGCCAGAAAAACCAGAATGGTTACACTGCTGCAATATAAGAATGAGATCATTGTCAGCTTGCAGCATCTGGAAAAATAGCCTTGAAAAACTGTGCTTTTTATTATTTTATTATTTCTTGAGTTTATATACCGCCCTATACCTGGAGTTTCTCCTTAGACTACTGCTGTGTGCCATAGTATGCTAAGTGAGATGTTCCACTGTTGGGACCAGCAGCCATAAATGGACTTTCTGTATATATTTCAACAATTAGGCTTAATACGGGCAATAAAGAGCTTATTGCTGGGACTGCTCTTGCGTCTTGAGCTGTTTATCCATCAGGGCAAATCCGCTTGCAAAAGCTGCATGTTTACAACTCTGTTGGAAGTGTGCTGGGCGATTGGTTTAAGGCAGGAGTTTGAAGGCCATAAAATCTCAGAGGTATTTTGCCTGCATAATTTTTACTCCTGCCATTGCTGTGAACCAATGCATGATAATAAGTAAATTATATTTTAAACTTACTTCCCAGGTTGTTGACTTTGTTAATCAGGGTAAGAAAGGGAGAGTCAGTTGAGTTGATAGCTGGACTTGCTCAAAACAAGGTTTCATAGCCTAATCCCTGTGCTTTTAATGTTGCAGCCAAGGATGGGACCCCCCCCTTTGGTGTCCTCTGCTCTGGGCTGTTATTGGGGATCCACGGATTACACACACATGAAGGAGATGGATGGTTGGTGAAGGAATGGCCGCTACTGCTTCAACCATGACGGTCCCTGGCAGGGCTTCGCTCGCTACCCCACAGGGGACTTACCTTGCCAGGTTCCAGCGCCCCCTTCCTGCATAGAGGCTGGAATCCCCCCCCCCCCCGAGTCCTGTTGATTGCATGGGGGCTGCTTTTCATCTCCTGTTTCTGCCGCTGGGTCGGCAGGCCGTGGTGTCCCAAGAGTCAAAATGTCATAGAATCAGAGAGCCACAGAGTTGGGAGAGACCAAAGGGGTTAAGGTCTCACAGCTAATGTGTCGGGTTTTGGGGGGTTCTCAAAGGCACGCACCAGCCAGAAGAAGAGGACGTCACACAGTGGAGATATAAGAAGAAAACTTGTATTAAAATGCACATGAAAACAATGGGGCTGAGGCCCCGCTGTGCTCAGGCTCCCCATTCCACTGCTTGGCTCCATCCTCCTGGCAGGCTGCTCCATGGCTAGTCATGCTCAGGCAGAGACATTAATGGGCTCAAAGGCTTTGATGTCTTGAAATTTGTCACAGGAGAAATTAACCAGCAGCTGCTTCGTCCCACTCTTGCTGGGCTTGACCTCGAACTCGAGGCGGGTGCTCTGCTTGGCCTGCAGGGGTGGCGCGCTGCAAACAAGGAGCAAAAGGAGCCAGTCAGCTGATGCTCAGGAGGAGCTGTGGGCCTGGCATGGGGGCTGCCTGGCCCTCCTCTGCCCTTCAGGACTCCAGGGCTAGCTCCTGCAGCAGCAGCCCCCAAGCCAGAGGCTCTCCCAGGCCCTGCCCACCAGGCGGGGTCTCCCTCTCGCTGCTGGGTTCCCATGCGCAGGCCAGGCTGCTGCTTCATTTGCTTTTCACTGCTAATTAGATCAAGCACAATAACTCTGAGTTGGGGGGGGGACAGTGGCAGAAGCAGGTGCTTCCCCTGCAGAAGGACCCACGGCTGGGAGGGCAGCTGCCAAAGGGACCAGAGCAGGGGGGTTGGGACTAACGGGGTCCAGGTTGGACATGCCATGATCATTCAGGTGGACCAGAAGGTACAGCCTGAGGTGCAGCCAGTGGGGGGACTCTGAGCCTGGAGAAACGATGGATGGCTGAGCATGATGGACCCACTCGGGGGGCGGGCAGTGGGTGCTGAGCAGTCTCCCATTACCCCTCACCTCCCTCTCAGACCACCCTAGGAAGAGCAGCTCTGGACGGCCCCTCCCTCGCCCCATCACCTTGTGGCAGTGGCAGCAGATGGCAGGAAGGGTATTTGGGGGGGCGTATGCCTGGGAATTTATCCTTCTTCTGATTTGAGGGTCAAACTAAATGTTCCCCAGTTAAGCAGCTCAGGCTGAAGGTAGCCATGAGCTCCCACATCCACGCCAGCCAGGTGAGGAGCCAGCCTGGTCCCAGCTGAGCACACAAGTGGCTTGTGGGACCTTCAGTTTGGAGCACGGGTCCCTCTCCCCACAAAATACTTCCACATCCCATCAAAGCTTGCTCATTAGGAAGCAGGGACCCAGTGTCCCAATTCCTCTCTAGAAGGGTCCTCCTTGAAGTCTTTCTTCTAAGATCACTTTTCTTCCTCAGAGTAGTTTGTCCCCATTGGCTGCCCAGCCTCCTCCTGACTTTGGATGTGCCAAAGAAACAGCAGCCCAGCTCTGCCTTTGCCAGTTCCTGGCTGGAGTGTTGAAAGGCAGTGGGGACACCCAGCCCCAGCCCCACACAGCTGCCACCAGGTGGGGTGAGTGACAGCACCAGTGCTAAGCACTGCCTGGGGTGGTTGGCAAGCCGGGGGGGTTACAAATGAGCAGTTTGAGCAGTGGGGTGTTGGGGGCAAACATTTCTAAAGGGTGGCTGAAACTCATGTCTGCAGCAGAGGCTGCCTGTGCACAGCTCTCAATCTCTCTCTCTGTCTCTCTCTCTCTCTCTCTCTCTCTCTCTCACTCTCTCTCACACACACACACACACTCACTCACGATTCCCTGAAGCAATTTCTCAACTATTAAAAGACACCTCTGAAGCAAAAGGGGCCCCAGCCTCTGTCACTGACAATTCCTGGTACACATAGAAAAGTTGCCTTGGAAGGTGATAGAAAAGTGGGCTGTGACTCTTTTGGGTAGTGAGCAAAGGAAGCCCCACATGGCCAGGAAGACACAGGAGTCCCTTCTGGGCACCCCTTTCCAGACCCCCCCCCCCCGGGAGACTGGAGCCCCGACTTTGCCTGCTCTGGAAGTGCAGCTGAGGAACTGGGAGGTGGGAGCACCACAAGGGAGCACCCCAGCAGCCACCCCCAGTCCTGGGGAGGGGACACGGCACCCCCCCTGTCTGGATGTCCCAGGCACTTACTCCAGCTTGAGCTTCTCTGCCAGCAAGTCACTGCCCTCTGCCTGCAGCACACAGTCCTTCACTTCTTCATTGAGAGGGTTGGTGAAGACCACCTCCACCTTCAGCGGCTGGTCCACTTTCGCCTGTCCCAGCACCTGCCCAGAGAAAAGCCCCCATTGAGTAGGAGGGCCACTCCCCAGGCCTCCCAGGGGGCAAAGCCAGGAGGGCACAGGCCTCCAAAGGCATGCCTGGGAGGGCCATGCACTGCCCAGCAAGCAGAGAGAGAAACTTGAGAGGCAGTTCTGTGGGCATCAAGGCAGGGAGGCACTCAGGAGCCTCTCCTGGGCACAGAGGCAGCTGAGGAAGGCTTACTTTCAAGGTGACGGAGGGGTTGCTCAGCGTGATGTCTCCTTCCACCACGGCTTCGGTTCCCTCTGAGAGTTGGCACAAGGCTGTGGCTCGAATCATGTTGTCTGGCGTCAGGTGTTGCTGGTACTCAGCGTATGAGATCTTGAGAGGAAACTTTTTCTCTGAAAGTGACAAGTAACCAAAGGGCCTTCCATGAGATGTGGGTCACGCAAGCCGGCAGGGGCAGACTTTGGTCTTCCATAGTTCAGCAGCACCCATGGGAGACCTAATTTGGCACCCGGCCTCATGCACATGCACTGCATCATAGTTGCAACACCTTGTGGCTCAGCGGCCGGTGCAGAGGAAGCTCTTGCGGTGCTCAAAATCCCCTCGGATGCCAGGAAGAACCCCAAAACGTTGCCCTTTCTTCAGGGGAAGGTGAGTCCCATAGCCCTTGGTGGAGAACAGTCAGGGGCTGCCAAGGCAGGAACTTGGCTAGCTGGGGGCAGATATGGGGAGCAATGATCCCCCTCTTCCGTGGCCCTTGCCCCCCAACATTGCCCATGGGTGCAAAAAGAGGAGCCCCCCATCTCTTGGGGTAGAGCAAGTGGAAAAAGGGGCAGGCCAAGCACAGAGGTCAGCACACACCAGCAGTGGAAGTTCCTTGCACCCCAAGATCTGAGGAGGTCGCTGGAACTCGCCATCCCCCACCCCAGCAAGCCAAGAGGGAGACCTATGAGAGGTGCCTCTGCCACCACCCCCACCCGAGTGGGGCTTCTCCAGAAGGCCCGACTGTGGCTTGTGGGCAAAGGAGGAGGAAGAGGGGGCATTGGAGGCTGCCCCCTTGCTGTGGGGAGCCCACAAAAGGCTTACCTTCTTGCGGGCCCAGAGTCACTGCGAGAGAGTCCTTCCAGACTTCATGGATGGGCTTCCCATTGTAGACGATGGACCAGGCGGTCATCTTGGCCGTCAGGCTCCTGGCCTTGGAGGCAAGGTTCTTCAGGGTGAAGACCAAGTCAACATCCTGACCAACCTTTGGCTCAGGGCTCTTGGACTTCAGAGTCCCTGAGAGGTTTGGGTTCACAGCTTCCGGACCCTTGGCAGATATGGCATTGAACGTGTTCAGGTTCAGCTTCTCACTGGCCTTTTTGAAGACGGCTCTTTCCTTCTCTGAGCCTGGAAGAGAAACAGCAGGTGGCAAAGCCCAGCGGGGCTGTTAGGCCCCAGTGCAGGAGCCATAGGGACCAGCAGTTGCATGAAGGGCACCTTCCCTCTCCTTCCCCAGGCCAGGGGCTCTTGGGGCCTCAGCCTCGCAGCCATCCTAGCAGTGCAAGGCCTGGTGGCACAGAAGAGCTGGGGTCCTGAGGGCTGGCAGGCAGACCATGGGGCTCTTTGCTCAGGCCTGGCTTGGGTGTGGCGCATGGACTTAAAATCTTTGCCTGCCCTCCCTCCCACTCATTGGTGGGCAATACCACCCATGTTCCGCCCTCCCTGCCCTGGCCAATCTGCTGACAGGGCGCCCAAAGTAGCTTCTGGGAAATGCTCTGAGAAACACCTGAGCCTCCATGGGTGTAGCCAAGGGGCAGCAGGGGAGCATCTCCCCTCCATCAAGTAAATCCATAAAAATATTTAACTGAGGTTCTGCCCCCAACAAAAATACTGGCTCCACCCATGTGAGCCTCCCTCTGCTTTGCTCTCCTGATGGGCCAGTCTTGTCCTCACAACTTGGGTAAGTGCTCATTTCCTTGGCAATAATCCAGATCCCTCAACATTTCCAGTTTCTGTCTCAATTTGCATGCCTTACCTTCTGGGTATTTATAATTGTTGGTGACATCCTGGCGGGCATTGCTGCCCACGGCCTTGGTGCTTATGTTCTGGCCAATCTTCTTGGTCTTAGAGTAGACCTTTGTTTTCTTTCCCGTGTTCGTGTCATACGTCCAGGTGACGCGGTCGGCATTGACCTCTGCATAGACGAACGGGCAATCGTAGTTCAGGTCGACGTCTCCTTCCTTGATGGCCGTCAGCGAAGCTGGACCGCACTGGAAGATGCCTGCAGGAAGGAAAGGGAGGGAGAACCAGTGGGCATTCTGCGCCTCAAGGTCACATGCAAGAAAACAGTTTGGGAGGGGGCAAACAAAACCCCAGCTAGCAGATACATTTAAAACAAAATGAAAAGCATACAAAATAAACTTTCATAGCAAAGACCCACTAAGTCAGCTGGGAAAGCCCGTCAGAACAAAAATGTCTTCAGCTGCTTCCAGAAAGTGCAGATCATGGCTGCCTGTCATATCTCAACAGGGATGCTGCTCCACAGAAGAAGGGCAGCCACACTCAAAGCCCTCTTCTTGACAGGTCAGCTGCTTTTGGTGAGAGCCATTGTCGTCGTAGGCATTGTGAGTTTGGGAGTGAGAGAAGGGGCAGAGAGAGAGGCAGGGGAGAGTTTTTTTAACTTGCAGGAGAAACCTCCTGCCAGCTGCAGCCACCTACTGGGCAGCCAGTGCCAGATTTACATAGCTTGGGCCCCCGAAAAAAAAAGGAAAAAAACAACCTGGATGTACATTTCCAAAATATAAGATAAAAAACAAATAAAATAAAACCTACATACAGCAACAGTGTTTTGTGTTGTGTATGGAGCTATTAAAATTAATCAATTTTATGTATATTGGTAATTCAAAATTATTTTGATGTGAATGGACAATTTGTTGTTGACAAAGGACAGCTGGGCATATAAAGGGCCCCATTCCCTTCTGGAACTTAGGGCCTCATCAAACCTAAATCCAGCCCTGTGGGCAGCAAAGGGATAAGATGGTCTCTCTTGCAAGGAACCTGGTCCCAAGCTGTATAGGGACCATATGTGTAAGTACCAAGGCCTTGAACTTGGCCCGATAGCAGAATGGCAGCTGGTGCAAATTCCAAATGTTGCTGCTGGTTGGTCCCTACAATCCACCTTGGTGTTCTGCCCTCCACAAAATCTTTCCTTTCAAAAAATACATATTATTGTACACGGCACTCCAGCAGGTTTCATAATATGATGGGCAAAAGGTCGCCCTGCTTAAATTTCTTTAAAAATTAATTCCATTTTTCATTCATTTTCCTTCTGTCATTGACTGCTCCCACAAATCCCCCACCAGGATGACATTGCAGCAAAAGGTTTTGTTCGCCCCTTTGCCAGGCTCCCTAAAATCGGTACATATAAAACAAAACTATCAACATTTAATAGTGAATGATACAAAATTATATTTAAAAAGAGAATAGCTGGTGGGAAACCTTGAGAATCACTGTTCCTATAGCATTGACTCTTCCAGAAACACTGGGGGAAGAAAAATTGTGACTCCCCCCCCCTTTTTAGACAACAAAGGCAAGCTTCCCTAAAACGAGAGCCCCTGGACCTCTTTGTCTGAACTTTGGCAGGTTTCTTAGCCAAGGGCGGCTCCCAGTCTCAGGTTCCCAGTTGCCCGCATAAGACTGGGAGAGGAAGGGGGCTTCTCCCCACCTGCCCCAAATGCCAACGGCAGCCCCTGAGGAGGGGCCACTGCCCTTCACAGAGACATCCTCCTCTCAGGAGGGGATGCCTCTTATTCCAATTCTGCCACAAAATAAACAAGCAACCTTCTTTTGCTCCCATGAGAAAAATAGCCCTTAAAGGTCTTGTGGGATGTACAACATTCCTTGTAATGCTAGAGTGGACATGCAAGGGAATGTTTGGTCCAGCCAGTTGAAACTTCCTGTTCCTCCTGGCCTGGAGCATCCTTCCTCTTGCATGTGACCAGAGGTGGGCATGACCTCACCTGTCCAGGTAACAAAAGGACGAGTCATAGAGCACTCCCTCCCTTTTTTCCTTTCTCCTTTTGTCTGCTTCCAGCTAGGACTGCTCTGTTGGCTTTCAGCCAACAGCAGCACAGGGATATGGGGTAAATCCACATGTTGCTATTTGTAACTTTAAGTCTTTAAGCCTTCAGGACTGATACTGTGCACTGCCTGAAAGTGAGTAAACTTACTTTTTGTTGACTATGAAGAGGATTGTGGTGTCTTTATTCTTTTAAGAGGGATTTAAAAGGGGATCTTACCAGGAACATACAATTCACTCTGAGGCAGATTGAATTGCATAATAGTAAGAGGTTCTAATGAGCCTGCAACCAGTTTCTGCTGTGCATGAGAAGGGGAACGTAACTCTGCTACATAAGGAACTTGCTAGCGCATGTTAGGAAGATTATTAATACAAAATATATCCTCTCCTGCCACCCTGAACATTCCCACAGGTCCCTTGGATGAAACTCCCCTGGACGAACCCACATGAAGCTTGGCAGGCTTTGGATTCCACTCTGGAGGAGATCCTTTGCCTGCAAATGTCATCCACCTCTGCAAAAATGCAGGTGGGGAATTATTGCTGATTTTAGATTTCCCATTATATAGTCAAGGGGTAGGGGACAGAGCTTGGGATTTAGCAGATCAGAATTGGTCCCAAATAGTGAATTGAACTGGAACAACACAGAGCCTTGGGGTCGCTTCCAACACTGCAGTTCTTTGATTCTGCTGCCCGCCACTTAGCCCCTCACCAAACCTGGACATTTCTGCCATGGGGAACAGTGTGGCAAGAAGGCAAAGCACAAATCAGCCCCCCCCCCCCCAGTTCTCACCTGTGCTCCTCTCCTGGGGAGTTGCATCCAGAATTTGCCACCCATTGAACTGGGAGCCAATGTCCGGCCGGACAAACCAACCTTCATTCCAGACATGGAAGTACCTGGGCCAGAGAATAAACAAGCCTGATGTGAAGGTTTGCAGTGAGATGAGGGCAGATTGTGGCTTCCACCACGGCAACTTCCTCCTGCCAAGGGCCAAGGAAGGACCAAGAGATCCCTTTCACCCACCCACCCAGGGCCCTGCCTCTCTGTGCAGAAATGCAACTGATGCTGGTGAGGTGGGGGGAAGAGTCAGGCTGAGTTACCAGACACTGTCGGAGGCAATATTCAGAGGGTTCCCAGAGCTGTCATAGTACTCATCTACAGTCAGGCTTCTGTCGGTGTCGTGGGCAGAATTGAAATTGGAGATCATGCGTGCTGCAATTCCCAGGCATCGGAGGACTGAGAGGGAATGAGAGAGAAAATATGAACTTTGTGAGGCTGTTCCTCAGGGGCAGAGGCAATGGCTGCAGAATACTCTTGGTTGAAACATCAACTTCTCAGGCAGGTGCTCTTGGCTCTGTGGCCTGTGAGCACTCCTTGGGAGATGTTGCCATTGACCCTGTGGGCTGGCGCAAGAACAAGCATGGAAAGGGGAGCGGTCACTGGAAGGAAGTAGAGCAGTGGCTGCCATTCCCACTCAGGAGTCTCCTGTGACGAGGACGGTCTAAGGTGCTGGGTGCGAGAGGCAGGTGCAAAGTTGAAACTTCATCACTAGATAGATGGCTGCCCCATGCCCCATTGCCCTCTTTGTCAGGGCCAGCACTTTTTCTGCCTCCTCACACATCTGAAAATGCCAGGGGGACCCAACAGAGCGTATCAGACTACCGAGACCACCAGCCCGGAAAGAGCCCCACCAGGGGAGTTTGCAGATCCAGAGAGGGTGACGCTTTTCTCCCCAGTCACAACACACACAAACATACCCAGCCTAGTTCCATGCCCAGGATCCCAGGCAGAAAGGGCCACAAGTCTGAATCAAAGCTCAGACCAGAAGCACAAGTGCAGGTCGCTCTGAGCCATGAGGAAGAAGGGGAGCCGTGGAGCAAAGGGCTCTCTGGATCCAGCTATGGCTCCTTCTCCTTACTTCCGGATTTACTGGTGCAGCACATCCTTCTGTCCCGCTCCTAGGCCTGTGTGGGATGGTGACCCCTGGACTGGACATTTCACTTGCCACAATTACATCAAATGATAGGGACAGAATGAAATGTTGAAGCAGAAAAGCATGGAATCATGGAGCTGGAAGGGACCCCAAGGGATCTTTCTTGTGCAACCCCCTGCAATGCAGGAATCTCAGCTCAAGCATCCCTGACAGATGGCCATCCAACCTCTGCTTAGAAACCTCCAAGGAAGGAGAGTCCAGAACCTCCTTATAAAAAGTAAACACTTGTTTGACCTCAGTTATTTGACACAGAGGGGGATACCAACAGATATAGTCCAAAAGGCACACAGGGAGTTCTGCATGTATGGGAGAAATTTAAAAAGCAAGTGGTCCTCACTGACTGGGTGCAAAAAGATATTGTCATCCGGAGGAGCCCTGGCTGCCTATATAAAACACTATAGCGCCCCCCCCTTACCTGAGAGTAAGGCCCACTGAACTCAGTGCAGCTTTCTTCTGAGTAGATCGTTCTTTACTAGATGCAAGTCAGCTGCACCAAATGACCCCGTTCAGCTAGGCCCTGCGCCTTGCAAAGCTGAGCAGACGCTGCCAACAGACCTTGTGCCCCTTGGCAACATCTGAAGACCCTGATCTACCTGATCCAGTGCTGGGTGGACTGGGCCCTGTGCCTTGCAGAGTCAGGCCCAGGCTGCCACTGGGCCCAGCACTGGTGGCAGCTACAAGCAGCTCTGGTTCGCCCAGCCCTACCCATTGCCACCCCACCTGACCTGGGGGTTCTGGATCGGTAGCTCTACTGGTCAAAATAGGAGCATCAGCAATCGCCCTCTCCTATCAGAAACATCCCAGGACTGCTCCAAGAAAACACATGTGGCAAAAAGGAGTGCTAGGCCCTGGTGGGCCTCCCCCTTACCCACTTGCCATTGACCAAGCAGATAGCTAGCTAATCAGGATTCTACATGTGCCTATTTTTCTTCACTTCTCACTTCCCTCTGTGGCCCCCTAGCCTCGTGCTATGCCCCCCCCCCCATTTATGTGATTTTCACCTGTGACCCCCTTGGAATATCCTTAGAATATCCCCTTGGAATATTCTAGAGAATTTTCTGTGACCCCTTGGCTGTGGAGGTTTGTTGTCAAAATAACAATGCATTATTGAGGTTGAGTAACTCTAGAGACTAGGGACGCGGGTGGCGCTGTGGGTTAAACCACAGAGCCTAGGGCTTGCTGATCTGAAGGTCACAGTGAAGCGACTTAGTCATGCTGGCCACATGACCCGGAAGCTGTACACCGGCTCCCTTGGCCAATAAAGCGAGATGAGCGCTGCAACCCCAGAGTCGTCCGTGACTGGACCTAATGGTCAGGGGTCCCTTTACCTTTACCCTTAACTCTAGAGACTAACAACCACAGTGCTGCAAATTTCTGGTTAGACAGATTGCAAAGAAAAGCAATGTAATTTGCAGACACAGAGCTCTGTTTGACAGCACTTCCCTTGAGTTCTCTAGCAGGAAAAAGACAAAGGGATTTAATTTTTTCTACTTCCTCCTGCTTCAGAACTCATTATCTTTTCCGCCATGCTTCTGAGGCAGATGGATGTCTGTCTGGTCTCTCCCCCAGTGGAGATTCCATTTTTGACCTCAACTATGCATTGTAATCTAGAAGCAGAATTTGCCTGTTTGTAACTGCTGGAATCAAGTGCAAGACTTTATGTAAGTACTATTTTACATGTGATTCTTTTATTAAGAGGGAGAAAGGGGGAAATCGTATATCCTATCCTTCCCACAAAATCCATCCAGCAATGGTTCCCTGGGGACTCTAATGTTCTGGGGGTGGTGGGGGCAGCAGCAGCAGCAGAGAAGCTGCTTGCAGCAAAAGGCATTGGCACCCATTGCACTCAGCCATCCGTTTTGCCCAGACGAAATGCTTGCTGCATGCCTGTCACCTGTGGTTTGGCTGCTGACCAGAGGCAGCAGAGCCTGCCATGAAAACCCACAGCTGGTGCTTGAGCTAATTCCTCACCCCAGCGGCTTGGTGGTGCATGCCAGTATTTCAGGCAGACCTACCTGTAGTCAGCACTCCAGCAAAGACCCAGCACTGCCCATACTGGACAGGTCTAAATCCCGAGTCCTTCCATTTTCTCAAGATGTCCACGCTTCCATTCCAGCTGCTTGGATTCTCCCCACCACTGTAATCCCCACTCCAGTCTCCTTGCAGGACTCCTCTGTCGTCAGTGCTGTTGACCTGCAGCGGGGGAGGGGGGAGTCGAGAGAGGCCAATGAGCTGCTCCCCCTTTTTTGCACAGGCTGGATTGGACCAGGGAGCAGCAGGAAGGGAGTAGCGGGCTGCCTGCCTGCCTTCCCCTTTCCACCCATGATCCCACCTCCACATCCTTTTGCAAAGTTAATAGAATCATAAAATTGTAGGCAGGCAGGTGAGAGCCCCCTCGTGGCTCCTCTCAGGGACGCTCGCTCCTATCCATGGGGTGGGTGGGAGGCTGGCTCGTGCTGGGCTTTCCTTACCATGGCGCTGAGCACCCGCCCAACGTATTTGGGGTCATTTCGTCTGCGCACGTCAGCAGTTGGGTCCTTGCGGTAGCTCAAGCTCCGGTCTAGGATGTCAAGGCAGATGTCCAAAATGCCCTCTTGAAACTGAACACAGAGAGGAAGACAAATGAAATGGTTCTTCATCCTGTGGCAGCATCACCCAGTGCTACACACATAACCTGGAGCTTCCCCTGCATTTTGAGCGACTCCAACTATGAACTGGTTGAAGGAAGAGAGCAGGTACTATTTGTTCCTTCCTCTGCAGGAGAGGAGGGGAAATGATATCACACAGAGCCCTCTCTACCAATTGCATTTCTATGGTCTGAGTCAGCCTCTCATCAATACAGTTCTGTGGATTTAGCGCCTTCTCATGTGTTGGGGGAATTACTGGCTTGTTTTGCTTTTGAATTTCTTACTTATT